GTTAGAATATTGTCATTCACTTTGAATTTACTAGGTTAAAGGTTAAAATATTTTAGGTTTTTGATCGTTGCTGTGTTGGGCGGCCCATTGCTGATGTATTCAATTAAGAGCGTGAAGATTATGACCTGTTGAATGACGAGGCACAAGCCACGCACATGGGGTTGGCAGGGAGCTCCCTCAGCATCTGTGTTCCCACTTTGGGGAAATGAAAACCCTGGGGTCATTTCAACTGAAGGCTTGGTTTCAATATGCTCACACAAACAGAGTCACAGTTTTATTTCCTCCAGGTTCCAGAAACATGGGTAGGGGGTGCATTGAACTGGGGGTAGGGCAGTCCTCCATGGCAGGTCATGAGCAAGCAGGAGACAGAGCCCAGGGTAGCAAGCACCTATTACTTATAAGGTGGTTGGGGCAGTGGTCACTAACTTTTCACAGGCTCAACTCTAAGTGATTATTCTAATAGGTGCCCCAGGAAAAGCAAAGCAGAAATTTGTGGTGTGAATCCTAAGCTCAGGTCTTTATCTATTTGTCCTGACTCTGGATATGAGCAGCATTGTCATACTGTAGAATGCCTAGGCAGCAACTCAGAACAGCTCTTTTCTCCTCACAATTGCCAGTTGCTGCCCAAAAGAGGTGTACCAACATGTGAATGTGGCTATTTTATTATGTCTTCCCCAACATCGATTTTTATTACTTTTTTAAAAATTGCTTGCTGATTTAAAATGAGAATGGTATACATTTTATTTCTGTTTCTCGATTATTATGTGCTGGGCTGTATTCCCGTATACTTGTCAATCACCATGCTTCCCCTCTTTTAAAGGTTCTGTTTGCGTCCTTTGCCCACTTATCCGTTGGGAATCTAAGTATCTTTTTAAATCAGTTTTATGAGCTTTTGGTTAACAATCTCTTTATGGTATTCTCTTTGCCTGTTTTTATTAGGCTTCTTGTTTCAGCATAAAGAAATTTGGGAGTTTTGTATAGACAAATCTATTGATGATTTCTTTGTGATTTTTTTTCTTTTTCTAACTAATAAACAGCCTCCTACCCAGAGTTTTATACATATTTTTAAATCCTTCTGCTGCTTTTAAGACTTCCTCTTTTAATGTTATCGTTTTTAGTTTGTTATGTAAATGTATCACGTGAAGTGAGTGTTAAATGGGACTGTTTTCCAATTTTCCCAGCACTGTTTATTGAATCTTTCCCTTCCCTTTGATTTGTGACTTCTTTCCTTGTAAAGTTAACAGTGTTTGAGAACTTAGTGTGTGGTAGGCACTATTCTAAGCACTTTACATGTATTTTCTGGTTTTCTCATCACAACAACCCTCTGAGGAAATGGAGGCACAGAGAACTCTGGTGTGCTGAGTTCTAATTGTACTGTCATTTCTGCATTGTGAGTATGTTCCTTTCTGTCTTATGTCACTACATTCCATCTTAATTATGACAGCTGATAATGTTTCCCTCCCAAGAAAGGCTAAGATACTTGTACTGTTTCTTCCCTCTTCTGTTCTTGCCTGCTTATTTTTCCAGATGGACTTACATGTTTTGTGTCATGTCCCAAAAAAATTTCGTTAGAATGTTTGTCAGAGCTGGCTTAATCCATAAATTATACTGGAAATAATTGCGTCTTTACAATATCAATCAAGATGTGTCTCCTGTGTTGAGCTTTGGTGCCTGGTACGTTCCAGATACTGAATAAACATTTATTGAGTGAAAGAATAAATGAATGGAGAGACTTTTTTTTATCATCTCCATCAAGTTTGGGTTTATACCTCTCACTCCTTTTGGCTTTTCCCTGTTTGGTTCTGTGCATTTCATGTGAATGTTATTTTTTGGCAGTGTAGATTTTGGTTTCTTGCCGTCATGAATGGTATCTTTTTCCTGTGATTTTCTCATTATTTGTTGCCAGAATATAAGAAAACCATTAATGTTTCTGCATTTATTTTGTTATTTATTTAACATTACTTAACGTTATTCAAGGCGGTCCTTGAGGAATCCTTTGGATAGATATTTCATCTGTTAATAATAATCATTTTTTTTCTTATTTTCCTATAATTTTGTCTATTGTTTTTAATTCTGGAATTTCCCACTAATGTTAAAAAGATTGATGATAATGGGCATAGTTGTTTTGATTCTGATTTTAATAGAAATATAACTTTTCACTTTTAAACATGTTCTTGGCTGGTAATTTGTAATACATGGTATCTTATCTTGTTGTTAAATGTATTTCATAAGGAATAATCTTATTAAAGATTTTAGGTTGACTTTTGTGTGACTTTTTTGACATCAGTTAAAGGAATTTGGTGTTGCTTCAGAGCATTTTTATGGAAGATATTGAATAGCACATATTTGTGATCTTTTATGTTAGCGAGAGAAGACATCTTCTCATTCTGCTGCGATAAGTGAATGTTTCTCTTTCTTCTGGGTCCCTATTCCACGAGTATCTGAACCTGAATTCTAGAGGGTGGAGGAGCAGAGACTCAAGGAAATACACCCTTTCATTCTTTTGCTCTTAGGATGTAGAGCTTGGGTGTTTCTATGTACATGAATTTCTCAAAGTCTTGGGCTGGGACATACACATGTAATATAATAATCCTAACAACAGCAGCAGCATTGCTGTATATAGAATGTGGGGCGACAGGACACTGTGATAAGGCTTTACGTGAATAATGCCATTTAATCCTCAGAGAAGAACACTGTTGATAAGTTCTGCCAGCCCATGTTATAGATGAGGAAACTGTGACTTAGAGCAGTGGTAACTTGTCCAGGCTTGTACAGCTGAGAAGTGGCAGAGGCAGGACTTAGGCCTGGAACCTTTGACATCAGAGCATACACTCTTCACCATCACTTTATCCCGTATTGCATTTGCCTTTGTGTTTGTGCTCTTGTTTGGATTCTCTTGACTGGTGAGAAACAAAAATTACTTGTCAAATAGAACCAAGCCTTAGGAATGGATGGACAGATATATATCTTGTGCTCTTGAGAGACAGATGCTGAGGACTAATGCATTTTGAAATGTTTATGGAGCCCAGTAATGCAGTAGTTATGTCTTAGTGGCCAATAATGAGCCCTCCTCCATTAATAATAAGAACACAATTTCCTTAGAAGGAAGTGTTATCTAATTACTTAAAGGCTAGATAATACTTCTTTCTGAGGACTAAGAGTCTATGTAGTTGACGTGTTCTATTTGTAAATTTATTGAGTTTTTTCTCTGCATTTTGCAGACATGTCAATAAGATTGGCATAAGCCATAGGTGCTGCTAATGCTAATGTAATCCATAATTTCACTTTCTTGTCACTTTTCTCTGTAGCATTTCTAAGACAACATTTGATTTTTGACACCTTCAGAGTAAAAGACAGTTATCTCTAAGAAATCTACTTTCTGTGAAACTTGGTGTATGTTTTTTTTAAAACAAGACACAAATATGTGGTAGAGTAGGAAATATCTAAGCAATTGGCCTCTATCATCAATGATGAAGATACTAGATCAGTGATTGGGAGCGGGTGGGAACTGCTTGCCTATTTGGAAAGGTAATGCATTTTAAAATCTTTTAGGGGACTTTATTCAAATAACTCCTTTTCTTCACGGTGAAATTCTGTGACATAGTGAGCCAGTTAGGTTTGCTGGGGCAGAAAAATGTTCACAAGCCACTGTGCTAGTCAGCATAGGAGAAGAATTGCTTTATTGAAGCTTAACAGTAATTTTTCCATAAGCTTGGTCCTTAAAAAGAAAAAAAAGAGCACATTAGAAGGTTGTTACTTTTCTCTCTCTGAATAGAAACGTTCCCAAATCTGGAAAGAAGTCTATCCTAATTTTAAAATTTCTTGGGAAGGAGCATAAAAATTTCCTTCTGTACTCTTTTTCCCAACTCTAGGAATGCTTGAAATAGATTCTTTCTTATGTCTCACAAATTAAATACCTCATTTGTGGCTCACCCATTTCAATTATTTGTCTTGCATTTTAATCTAGCCTTGTTTCAGGCCTTCTTTTTCTGACTCTTTGCTATACTTTATGTTTGTCTCTATTTCATAGGGTAGCTTACTTGTATGTTTATAGAGGATTCTCAGTTTTCTTCTAGTTGGCACCCCGGGACAGTTTGCTGTGGAGTGTCAAGATCTCTCCCTTGCCCAGTGCTAGTCCTGTTGTCTGCTTTGTAGGTTCATCGCCTGGCTGTGCGCCAGATGAGTCCCGTCCTTTCTTCCCTTCCTCCTCTCCTTTTCCTCTCCCTCCCTTAGTACTGCTCAGGATTTTATCCTGAAACGAATCTTATTTTTAATTTAGGTAAGTCAGATTCTAACTTTGGATGTGCAAAAGATAAATTTCCCTCACCTGCACCTTGAAGGCTTTTAATTTTGTAAATATTTAAATTTTCCATTAATAAATGGTCTGTTAAATATGCACTAAAACCGTTCCTTTACATGTCTTCAAGCCTAAGCCTTTTATTGTGTTTTTAATACTTTTCTTAAATGCAAAAAACAAAGCCATTAAACTTTCCTTATTAAAATGCAAAGTCTAGTGTCTTCTAGCTTTTTGAAGAGCTTTTGTCCATTATATAATCTGTAAAGTAGCCAAGAGTTCCTCAGAAGCAGGACATCATTTAGATTTAAAACAATTATGGCTTGTGTGTAAAATAATGATGTGGCATAACCATTCACTGGGTGGCAACCGCAGTTTTACTTTAGTGGCACAATCTTTGGATACGTCTAACATTTCATTTATGATAAAGACTTTACCCAGGTACCTTAGAACAGAAATAGGTCATTTTGAGTCTACTAAGTAGATTAAGTTGGTATGACTAGAAAGCCAAATGACACAGTTATGAGCATAGACCTTTTATTTTTTTCCCAGATGTTTGACAGTGTAAACATACATAAAATACTTATTAAATTTTAAATGCTTTATATTTTGTGCAATAAATTGAAGCCTTAAAAAGAAAACATTTCATTTTTAAAAAAAGAAACTCATTAGTTTTACTTAATTAAGACAGTAAAATAGCAGCAAGTACCAAGACATTGTGCACTTCTTTTATTTAAGACAAGTTACTTCATTTACATCAGAGTCAGAAATGTAAGACTGGCTTCCTTGAATACTTAATATAGCTTGAATCACTGGTTAGATAGGGGCATATTTCTCAACTATACATCAGAGAGGAGTTCTTTCACTAGTTTCAGAAAATGCAGACCCTCAGACAGCCAGCATGACCACAGCACTGAGCATTAAGAGAAACGAAGCATTCACTTTCCAAACACTTGCCACAGAAGGTAAGCGAGGCTTTACGTTTGTGGTTGTCTCTTCCCTGCGTAAGTTAAGGGTTGTGCTTTGTGGAGGCATTTCAGAGAAATTATTTGGCATGCCACTGGTGATACTTAGGGTCATGGGTGTTGGGGATGATTTTGTTGAGCTAGTGAGGCTTGTGTTTGTAACAATTCCATCTTGGAGATGAATAGTTAGAGTTGCAGCTGCTGCTTCATGTGAATTGATCATTTCTGTGGATGTATCTTCTGGATAGGGCACAAAAGCCTTGTCAGTGCTCGTAAAGGTGGTGTCTTTGCTTAGAGTGGCACCAAACGTTGTTTCCTTTGTTCGATATTGTTTGGGTGTTTTGGTCACTTTCGATTGAGTTACCATACTCAGAGAGTTAATGGTGTCCACTGTCTGCATCCCACTTAGAGTGAACAAGCTTGAGGTAAATCCAGAAGGTGTGGGGTATATGTTATGTTCCTTCAAAGATGATATTTGGCTAGAACAGGGAGTCCCTATCACATGGGCTTTTGTTTCCATCATCCACTTCAATAAGTAAGTAAGGTTTTGTTTGTGGTCACACGACCACCTGTTATTGTAAAGGGTTATCTCTTGCAACTGAAAGAGTTGGTCAAAAGCTTGATCTGGAATGAATGTGAACTTATTGTTATGCAGGTAAAGATGTGTGAGATTTGTCAGGTTTATTAATGTTCCTGGAAGGATTTGTGTCAAGGAATTGTTAGACAGGTCCACGATATGTAGTTTGGAGGGCATGTTGGTTGGAACTGTCCAAAGTTTGTTATCACTGAGATTGAGAATCTCAAGACTTCTTAGTGTATTTTTAATGAGGACAACCTTTTCCAGCATATTCTTAGAAACATCCAGATATTTAAGGTTCCACTGATAAGCAGTATCAGATTTGTCAAGCAGTTTAATGTTGTTGTTAGCAGCAGACATGTTCCAGAGGGACCGAGGTAACTGAGCAGGCAGGCTTTCAAGCCTGTTGTTTGAAATATCCAGGGTCCTCAGATTGGTGTATTGGGTTAACTGGTTATGCAGATCAGTAAAGTGGTTATAAGACAGATTTAAATGGATAATATTCTCTTGCAGTCCAGATGGTAATGTAGTCAAGTTTCTGCCCGAACAGTCCACATGCCTGTGCCTCTCTGTGCATGTACATTGGAGAGGACAAATGCATAAAATACCAGGTGTGAGAAACAGAAGGATGAGCAGGCTGGGAGACATTTTCAATATCTGATATTCCATCAAAGCCTGGAAACAAACAGATACACCCTTCTTTTAATATGCAAATACAATTAGGCATCTGCATGGGTCAGTTAGCATTAGGCAAAATTTTCAATAAACCTCGTTGTTGTTGAGTCCTTTTATAATTGTTCCAGTGATTAAACTAACAAAGCTTCCCTTCATTTATAGTCCAAATGCTTAATCTTTCAACTGGGGCTATGTGGTAGAGAGAGACTCTCTCCCTCTTCTCTCTCCTACATTTTCTGCATTATTTTCTCCCTTGTTTTACTTTAGTTTTTCTTATCCTAGAACCTTAATATTATAAAATGACGTTCTCTGCAAATAAAGAGTCGGAATCTTAAGCTATTACTATTTTTGAGATTATCTTTTCTTATTCAGATGGGAAAAAATGGCTGTCGTGACTCTGTTTTGGTTTTTTTTTTTAAAATCTCTGCAGTAATGTAATAGTCAATGTGTGTGTGCAGGGTGAAATTTTGGTTTGATATTAAAGGAGTACTTTGAAATTCATCTTTGTCTTTTTAGGATAAATATATCCTTGCAAAACATTTTAAGGCACTTGAAAAATCCAGACCAACACCATACGTTTAAACCTCACATTTTATAAAGTGATTTTTTTCTGTATATTTCAGTGCCGATTTTAAAGGAAAACAATGTGGATATATACAAAGTGAATGAATATTAAAAAGAAATCCCTCAACTGACACTGCAGCAAATTTCTGGTGCATGCACTTGCTATTGAATATATATTCAATTCTAACGTTGACTTTTTCTTAAAAAAAGGAATAAGAAAAAAATTCCAAAGTCGATCTTTTACTGATTTAAATAACAGCTTACCATAGTGTCGTCTTCAACATCAGCATCTCATTTTCTCCGGGAAATTTAAGCTTAAAGGTCGCCTTGTTCTGGAGAGTGGGAACCGCTTCTGGCTGTGAGCTGTGCTTGCCTGCTCAGCTGCATTGTGTTGCTGTGAGCTGAGGCTCTGCAACCACCTGATCAGCACCACATAGGAGGACTGCAGAGCTGTCATTGGTGCTGACTCAAATTTATTGCAAGAGGTGCACACGCAACAAAATAGTCCACAAATTCTTTTTAATTTACAGCATTGAGTGTACCTGTATATCTCAGATTTGCTATAGGATGGAATACCTCATGCACATTAGACCTGGCCTTACTCATTTCTGTGTATTTGTCTGAGCTTGGGTTCCACATTTTAACATTTACCTCATAAAGAATTTGTGGTTCTTTTTAATGCCTCTACTCTTCATTCTTTTTTACATGTTGAAAAATGTTGAAAGTGAATTTGACCTTCCTTGTAGATGGTTTTCTAAGATATTAGTTTGGCTATTTTTAACTGCTACCTTTTTATGTTCTTTTCTGAAATTGTACAGTTGTGTCACTTTTTTAAAATAACTTAATACAATCCATTTGATTTTTATGTACTCCCCCAGCATGATGATTATTATGTATAATCAGCTTTTCAAGTTTATCAACCACTTAAATATTCATCTTCCTTTTTGGTAAATACAAAATACTTAAATATGATAATTTTGTCCTTCTCTTTCTGTTGTAAAGGGTCATTTGACTCAGGCTACACACAAGTGAAGTTACATTTCTAAATGAGCATCTTATGCTTTTAATTATCAGTTCCTGTGGTAAAATAAACATGTGTTGTTTTATGTCTTTTGGGTTAAGGATTTTTTTCTTCATGCATCTTACTTTGGTGAGTGGGCATGAGTATTGTTTTCTTGAGAGACATCTTTGGTGCTATATGAATGACCATTTATTTGAGTTTATGTTTTAAAAATAATAGCACCAATTTTAGGTAATTTCTTTAGAATGTTTCACATTTTATTTTACTCAGAAAGCAACTTATAGTTTTAAAGTTTCATGAAATAATGTAAAAGGGAAAACTTTTGTCGTTGAGTTTTATAAAATGAGACCGGATTGGTGATAGCTTCTGTTCCTCTCTTTAGTGGGGTGATTGTAAAAATAATCTGTTAAAACTCAAATCTAGTTTCCGGAATAGCCAGTTTACCAGAGAAAAGAAAGCAGTTAGAGTCATGGCATTTTCATTACCAAATTGTTACCCTTTAAAACCCAGTGATTATTAATTAGCACATTGCTTGTAAGGAAAATCTTTTTATGCCTAGCTACTAAATTCTGGTTTTTGTCTAATTTACACTTGTCATTATTTTACCCCAAATAGAATTTATTGTATTAATATTTAAAGTTTATTTTCTTAGAAAAGAAACTAGACTCTAGGAAGCAACTTTTGTATAAAATTAATGTTCCTCGAAAAGTATCTGCATTTAAAAGTCTGCAGTGTTAGAAATTTATTATTGATTAGGTATTTTATTCCCACTTTACTTTGAGGGTTCAGCCTTGGACTCTTAATAAGATCCTTTCTATGGATTTCAGAGACCAGTTATCAATCTTAGTGCTTAAAAGTAATGTGTCAAAAATACCACATTCAGCAATTTTGTGGAAATAGGGAACGATTGTTTCGACATTTAGATTTCTTCTGTTTCAGCGCATGTATGCACTGCTACACTTCAAGGGATGTGACTGAGTGTCAATTTACCAAATACTTAAATCTCTCCTTTTTTTTTCCTGCTTCCCCCCACCCCCCAAAGCCCCCCAGTACATAGTTGTATATTTTAGTTGTGGGTCCTTCTAGTTGTGGTATGTGGGACGCCGCCTCAACATGGCCTGACGAGCAGTGCCATGTCTGCGCCTGGGATCCGAACCCTGGGCCGCCAAAGCGGAGCGCGTGAACTTAACCACTTGGCCATGGGGCCGGCCCCTAAATCTCTCCTTTTAATTTGAGGAAGTTCCATTTCAAAGTGGAAGTAGAGTTTTTCACTTCCATTATACTTACCAGTACTTTTGTTTGAAAGAAAAGAACATGTTATTTGATTAACTAATGGATTCAAAGGAATTTGGGTTTAGGCTGTATCAAGATTAAATTCTGCTGCATCTGATAGAAAATTTCAACATTATAGTAGTGGTGGTGTTTCTCATTTCAAGTTTGGGGACACATCAAATTGCTTCCTATTATTCAAAGGTTATTGTAAAATTATCAAAAAGAAAAAGGGGGAATGTTTTAATATATTTGAATTGTAACAGTCTGTCCTTATCATATGCTTTTAGAAATTCTCATGAAATAAAATAATAGTATATTACCATTACTCCCCAAAATAGTCATTTTTATTGGATTGTTTGTTACAACTCATTTTAGATATTATTCAGACACGTTACATTTTAGATAAGTCTGTCAAGTCAGGAATTACAGCTGTTTAGGCAACTATTATATTTTAGACTAAGCAGTAAATTCATTTGCATATTCTTTTGTGAAACACACTGTTGTAGGATATATTACCCCAACATTGTGAAAGGTAGACAGATTACCTGCCAGGGAACAACTATCCCATGTTAATCAACAGTTTGGAAACACAACCAGTTTATCTTTATTTCTTAAATTGACAACATGTGTTGTGCTTCTTTGAGAGTAAAATGTTGTATTCTCTATTTTTGGTAATATAATTGGCTTTTCAGACTGAGTTTCCTGCTGAAAACAACTAAGAGTACTGAATAAAGTATTTTAAAAGCGTGAAAGAACTAACAAGGTAGAAATTATCAGGTCAAAATGCAAGTGGACCAGTCCCTTCTCCCACCCTTTCACCCGTTTTTTTCCCCATGCCACTGGCTTGTTGCCAAAACTCAGTCATTTTTCCCTAGAATGACCCTTATCTGGATTTATCTGTTTGCTTCCTTGTGAAGATTTAATTTGTTCCTCTATCCCCAATATTTCCTATAAATGGTTCCTAACAGCATTAACATAATTGCTTATTTGTATCGTCCTACAATAGTTTCGAAATAATACCAGTATTGCTGCCAACAATTAAATTACAAACTATTGAATAAAGTTTAAGATTTCTTTGCAGCTCTATTTGTTCTTAGAATATGTTTCACTAAGGACATATAGTCAGTTCTGTTTCTAATGCCACTTGAAATAACTTTTCTCTATATTTTTATATCACTGACTTTAGATAAAGTTAGTTTCATTTGTTTCAGTTAGTTATCAGTTTTTAGGGACTGCTTAAGTCAAAATTATATAACAAAGTATATTCAGAGAAATTCTGCTTCTCTATCTCCTCTGCCTTATTTCCTTCCTCCTCCTATTAGTGACTATTTTTATTAGCTTTTAATTGTATCTTAACAATATTTCTTTTTGCAAGTGTACAAAAATATGTATGTATTATATGTTCTTATCCTCCTTTCTTATATAAAAGGTTGCATATTAAATATACTGTTATACATCTTATTCTTTTTTCCTTAATAATATATCTTGAAGATCACTCCACATCAGTATATAGGGATCTCTCATTCATTTCATGATGCGTGGTACTCCATTTGGGAGTGTACCATGTTGATGCACTGGTCCCCTATTGATAGACATCTGGGTTGTTTCCAGACTTTTGTTATTACAAATAATGCCACAGTGAATACCCTTTGTGCCTAAGTAATTTCATATTTTGTCCAATGAATCTTTGGAAAAGATTCCTAGAAGTAGAATTTCTGGGTAAAAGGATAAATGCATTTGGAATTTTTCTGGATATTACCAAATTCCTCTCTATACACTGTACCATTTTGCAGTCCCACCAGCAATGTGTCAGGATGTCTAGTTTGGTAGAGCCTCACCATAGATTTTGTTGTTGAACTTTTGGGTTTATATCAATCTGATAGGTAATAGTATCTGGGAGGAACTTTAAATGTATCTCTCTTATTATGAGGACGGTTGTATACCTTTATGAATGTTTTTAAAAACCATTTAAATTTTTTTCTTCTGTGACTGTCTTTGATGTGTTTTGCACATTTTTTCTATTGTGTATGGGTTGTCCTTCCCCCCACCCCGCCCCCGGTATTTAGGAGTTTTCTTTAAATTTAAAAGATATTAGCCCTTTGTCTTAATTTAAGAGGCAATTTTTTTCCAGTTTGCCATTTGTCTTTTGACCTTATTATGGTAGTTAATTGTTTTTTACATTTAAAAGTTTTGTATAATTGCATTTTCCTTTTCTTTTTATTGCTTCTAGATTTTGAGTCTTAGCTAGAAAGGTTTTTCCCACTTCCAGATTATTAAAGGAATCCACTCATATATTCTTCTATTACTTGTATAATTTTGTATAATTTTGTATAATTTCATGTTTTATATTTAGATCTCTGGTCTACTATAGTGTGACATATGGATCCAATTTTATCTTTTTCCAAATATCTATCCACTTGTCCTAATACTTTTTCCCACTGATTTGAGATTTGAGTCTATTTCTGGACTTGGCATTCTGTTCCATTGATCTGTTTGTCTAATCATGTACCAGTATCATAATTTTTTAGTTATAGGTGCCCAAATATTTTGCTACTTTGCTTTTTGCTCAGAACTAGGTAATAAGAACAATTACAGGTCACCCTCATCTAATTCGTTGTTTCCCCCACCGCCAACGCCAAATGGAATACGTGGCAATATACATATGTGGCCGTGCATGAAGCTGGTGCTCTTTGAGCATCTGTTAGTGGGAAGAGTGCCGAACCAGGAGTCAGGGGACCGACTCAGCTTTTAGTACCTCTTGTAAGGAGGGCATTTACTCTCTCTGGGCCTGTTTTCTCAGCAGTTAACGGATAAAGAAGTTGAACTAGATGGTCTTCAGAGTTGTTTCTGAATCTGGTTAATGCTGATCTGATAAGAACAGCGCAGGTCTGTGGTATGCGGGTCAGTCTGCTTTTTATTCCTTTTGTCTCATTCATGAAATAAACTTTCTCTTCTGGATCCCGGTTTTTAATCTTTTCTACGTTTTTCTTTGTTCTAGCATTTTCTTCTCTCCTGTATTTCTTTTATTAGCTTGGATTTCTTTCTGCTGATTAAGTAAGGATTACCACTGTTTGGCTACTCAGCTTCCACTGACCTCGGTGGGGAAAAATTACATGCAGTCAATGGGAATTATTCTTGCCCCCTGGTAGAGAATTTCTTAAAAAACAAAAACTGAAAACCAGCTGCTGAGAGTAGTCTGTTCGTCTGTTGTACAAAGAACAGAAGGAGAAGAGCTGCCTGTACACTGTGAAGAAATCAGACAAGACTATGACTGAGTTATCAGTTCCTGATTATCTATGAGAGTGGGTAATTCCTTATATTTCCCAATGCCCGTCCTTCAAGAAGTCAGGAAAGAAGGTGATAAAAAAAAAAAAAAAGAGCAGAAATGTGGAAAGAGCCCATTAGGTAACAATCATATATGTAAAATAAGAAAGGTTATGATGATTTAAGGCATGTCAAAGTCTTGACCAAATATAAAAACATTATATCTCATTTATCCTAATTAGAATACTTAAAATTGAACAGAATAATAGCAAATTATTAAACTCTTGATTACTCCTGGGTAAATTAACCTTAAAAGTGCTAAGTTTGCAAAACACATGAAAGAAAGTTCTTAATGTGACAGACAGAAGAGAACCAATGTAATATGACAATAAACATCATGCTTATTCAGGAAAAATAAGAAGCTCAAGGATATGTTTCTGCTGATAAAAAGTTTTACTGGTCAGTAAGGAGTGGCTTAAAAGACTTACAGAGAAACGTTGTAAATAAAGTTTCAACGTCCAAAGCTGCCTAATTGTTTTTTTTTTTTTAAGATTGGCACCTGAGCTAACACATCTGCTGCCAATCTTCGTCTTTTTTTTTCCTTTTCTTCTTCTCCCCAAAGCCTCCCAGGACATAGTTGTATATTCCGGTTGTAGGTCCCTCTGGTTGTGGCTTGTGGAACGCCGCCTCAGCACGACTTGATGAGCGGTGCCATGTCCGCTCCGAGGATCTGTACCCGTGAAACCCTGGGCCGCCGACATAGAGCACACGGACTTAACCACTTGGCCATGGGGCCGGCCCCAAAAGCCTGCTAGTTTTTATTAAAGATAGAACTTTATTAGTTTCTTGAACACCAATGCTGCAAATAAATACTATATTTTGTTCTGAAAAAATCCCAGAACTATGAGTGGTTCTCCAAGGTTAAGCTACCAATAAGGCCGCCACCTGTCATTCTAAGTGACTGTTTCCCCAGGAGTTAGGGTAGTGGTGAGGGTGAAGAATGTGTGCTTTTGGGGCAAAAGGACACTCCTGCAGGCACAGGCTAGCATCTCCATGAGCGTAGGCCCATGAACATGCTCCGCCTTGACTTTGACAAAGATTGGGTCCACCTCTACTCTAATAACTCAGATTTATCTATTGTCAGGTAATGGATAAAAGGTGAAATTCTACATAAGAAAGGTGTTTTAAGAGTTTAAAGGTACGTTGTCAAAGTATGAGTTTAGTGAAAGTTGAGAAACATCTGTATTTTGATACAATCTGTTTTTCCTGGAAAAATTGTCCAAATTTGGAATGAAGCCATTAGAGCTGTTTCTTCTTTTCCTCTTCGTTTGATTTGAGTGCTTAAGGTGTATAAAGAGGACACTTTTTAAAGAGGCTAGTTTTAAAATTTGTGCTCCCCCAACAAGATAGGAAAATGTCTCCATTTTGTGGTACCTGCTCATATTATTTTCAGTGTAAATGTCCCCAACCCAACCCCCCAATTTGATGTTCTAATAAGTTTGTTGTACTGTTTCCAGTGACAGCTAAAAGGAGATTTCTTTATTCTTAAACATGGATTTTAATCTCTTGTCCCTACAAACTTGAAATATTTATTTAATACTTCAGGTATTAATTTAAAACTTGGAGTTTTGTTTAAAACTTGGAGTATGTATTTAATTTCTCATTCCCCCCACCTCAAACCATGAAATGGAAAAATAAAATTTTATTTATTCAAGATAACTTTATATACAGCTTTTCAGAAAAAAAAAATCCATAAGGTAATGTTAAGTGTACGTAGGCTACTTGTTTCAGAAATGGTTGTTATTGACATATGTACCATCCACATATGTAAAATGTACTATGCAGTAAAGGTAGATACTATAGCCAGTAAATAGATCACTGTTATATAATTTTTAAAAAATAAGTTCCACCTATGCACATGGGCTTTGAGCAGATTTCAGGTAGTCCCTGAATAAAAATCAAAATTGACTACCAGTTGCTATTTAATATATTTCAGCACATGAAGAAAAACAAAAGATGGAATCCTTTAAGAAGGATGAAAAAATCAGCTAAAAAGCAAGTTGTAATATTTATAACAGTTCTTCTGGTGGAGGTGGCAGGGATTCATTGAGATCTTGATCAGAGTTAGGAGGAATAGAGAACTCTTGACACTGGATCTCATTGTTGTAATCTTCCTGGTTTTTCATAAAATCTCCTGATGGCAGAGGCAAATTAAGTGAATCAGGAGGAGGTGGAAATGACTGTTTGAACTCAGAATTATGATCTTCACAGACTTCATTAAGACTGTTCAGAGATGGTGGGAGATTGGTGGAATCTTTTGGAAGAGGAGATGCAGTTGTCATTCCAGGTTTGTCAGATTGGTTACTTTCCCGTCCTTCCAAATCAAGAAGGGAAGGAGGTGGTGGAGGCAGCTCGGCATCGTCTGAAGAAGAAACCGCAGTACCAATTGTTGATCCATCAGCACTATCCTCCGATGTACCATTTACGTGATCTTTTATTTTCTCTGTTTGGAGGTTGTTAGAATCTTCATTGTTTTCACTTGATTCAAACAACTTTATTTCTAAATCATCTGCTAAAACTGTGCTTTTGTTTGGTTTCCAGGCCATAAATGAAACAATTGATGAACGTTTTGTGGATACTTCATTTTCTCTAATGTTATCTATACATATGTCAGGGGTTTCACCATCCGCAAACGGAGATCTACCTGCCCAGTTTTGATCACTTATAACTGGTTTTCTCAAGCACTTCCATAGTACAATCATGATTATAGTTACCAACATAGAAATCAGAATTACACCAATTAATATGGCAGCTATTGTATTAGAATTGGTTTTATGTGGAGTATTTTTCTTACTTGTAGTTTCTATGATGAATCCTGGTGTAACCCTAGGTGGATGTTTGACAGTTGTTGTTTGTTTTGTGGGTGGATGATGAACATTCGTTGATGTTGGTTTTCTAGAAGTGTGGACAGACGATGGTGGTTGAGTGGAAGTATAGGCAAATGTTGGTGATTGTCTGGTAGAAGTATGGGTAGCTGGTGGTAGTTGTCTAACAGAGGTGAACACAGGTCGTGCTGTTTGTTGGGAGGAGATGTTGGCCGTTGGTATTGGTTGTCTGGTTATGTTATAGGCAAGTGGTTGTCCAGCAGAAGTGTGTGCTGCCAGTTTTCCAGAAGAGACATAGGCAGCTTGTGTGGGTTGTCCAGCAGCGACTTTGGTAGTTGGTATTGCTTGTTCAGAAGAAACGTTATTGAATTGTGTTGGTTGACCCAACGGATTCCCTGTTGTGTTTTGAGAATTAGCTGAGTTATATGGCGTTGGTGATCCAAATGAAGTAGACTGTGGTTGCTTCTCTGTTGTAGTTGCTTCTGTCTCTGAGAAGAATGTATCATTCAGGTGTCCGCAAAACAAAATTAAGACGAAATATTTGAGATCCATTTCAGAATGTTTCTTCTTTACCAGTGGTTTTATAATGAAAGAAAGACAGACAGTTAGGTATCATCTGGTGTCTGGTGTAAAGTAGGTAGGTACTTGATATGTGTTTATTATCCCTGATTTAGACTCGCTGCACTATGGGCCAGTGTAAACAGCTCTTGAATGCGCTCTAACTTATCATACAGCATTTGGACCTTATAGGCAGTGATCTCTCTCAGTTCTTGCATAAGATCTGTACGTGACCCTGCTGCCCCTCCAGCTTCATTACACACAGTCCTTCATTTTCACAGTCATACTTCTCACATACATAGGGTCTGTATGCTGGTTCCATGTGCTCTCTACCTTTTTCTCTGTTTGCTACTAGAAATATGTTGATCCTGCTGCCTTGAAGGATACCAGAAATCATCTGTTACCTAATTTAATGGTCTTTTCTGTCTTTTCTGTCTTTTTTTCCTCTCTTGACCACACTTAACACTACTGACAATTCCTTCACTACTGTTCAAATAGCGATTTGTAATGGTTTTCATGTTAATCTCACTAACTTTTGCTTTTCTCTTGCCTCTTAAATATAGGTACTTCATATTCAGTCCTCACTCCTATCAATTCTTCTTTGATTCCTGAATCTATAAGATTTCAGCTCTCATCTTTATGCCATAACTCCCAAACCTGTACATCTAGCCCAAATCTCCTTAATTCTAGTTCCATTTGTATGACTTCTTGGTGGACATTTCCATGTGTATATCCCACTATCAGCAAATTCAACATATTTAAAACAGAATTCATCTTCATCTCAAAAGTGACTCCTCTCCCAACTTCTCTATTTTTGTTAATTGTACTGCCTTTGTCAGTTTCTTGTGCACAGAGTCTATTGTGTTAGTAATCTTTATAGCAGCATCAGTGTCTAGCACTGTGTCTTTATGTTAGGATCTTATATTTTTAAAGGATTCAATTCAACTCAGAGTCCTAGGCTCAAAATCCTAAAGAGATTTTTGAATCTGGTTGAGTGGGTCCTGTGCAGTTGGTCACATGGTCCTGCTGCTGCTTTCATTCATCTCTCGATGAGCATCATCTTTCTGTCAGGCCCTGGTCTAGGTTTAGGAGATACCAAAAAAAAAAAAAAGTTCCTTCTGGTAGAAACAAACAAGCAATACATAATTGTAATAATTTGATAGGCTTTCTCATAAAGGTGTGCAGGAGGTGCACGGAGGAACTAACCTAGCTTGAGAGGGCTTCAGGAAAGTTGTCTCAGAGAAGTAAAACTTGAACTGAATCTTGAAAGGTCTGTGAGAATTAATTAAGCAAATAAAATATGCCAGCCAAGGGGACAACATATGGGCATGGGAAAAGAAGGCAGTTTGGCACATAGGTCTTTTTGCGGGATGCAGTAGATGCTAAAACTTGAAGAGTCAAGTTCCGGTTCTACTCCCACCACCGAACCACCTATCTGACCATGAGGACTAGTCGCTTAATCTCCTCCTGTTCTCAGTTGCCTTATCTGTAAAGTGAGGAGTTATACCAGGACAATTTTCAGCTGTGAGTGTAATATCCTTGTTTTGCACATCATTAAACAGAATGATAACTATTTGGTTATTTCTTAACATTGGGGAAAGGAAAATCTCCGGGTGTTAGATCCTGGTGTATATGATTAGAAACTATAGTTTTTCCCTTTTTTTGAGGAGGATTAGCCCTGAGCTAACTACTGCCAGTCCCCCTCTTTTTGCTGAGGAAGCCTGGCCCTGAGCTCACATCCATGCCCATCTTCCTCTACTTTCTATGTGGGATGCCTACCACAGCATGGCTTGCCAAGCAGTGCCATGTCCGCACCCAGGATCCGAACCGGTGAACCTCGGGCCGCCGAGAAGCAGAACGTGCACACTTAACCACTGCGCCACCAGGCCAGCCCCGAAACTATAGTTTTTCTGTGATTCATAGGCCAATTTCAGAAAGGTTTGATGTTCTGTGTAAGGTACAATTAACAGGCAAAGAGAAAGCCCCTCAAGTTTTGCAGATGAATAGACTTTTCAGCATATTTGAGCAATTTCCATTGCTTACTCCTCTACCACTTAGTACACAGTGATAATAAATTACCCTATTTTAGTAGAAGAAAAGACATGTGATTTTTTTTTTTTCCCTTACAGTCTCTTTCTTTTTATTTTCTCTAGTACTTCGGGCCTAAATTTTAAACTATTTCTCCTTTAAACTTTCCTGCACACCAGTGCTGAATTAATCTTCTTAAAAGCTTGTATGATCAGGTTACTACTCCCTTGTTTGAGAATTTCCCATTGCTGTCACGGAAAAATTCTAAACTGAGTTTTCTTCCTTCTGGCTTGAGTTTACCAGTCTATTCTCATTTCTCATAACTGAAACTTCTCATTCAGCCAAGATGCACCTTTTCCCCTTCTTACATACATACTTTCTAAACTCACACTTTTTTTTTCCTAAGCAGACACTTTTGTTTATGGCTTTTCACCCTCTTTGTGTGTGTTCTTTTTTTCCCAAACCCTTCATCTTCTCTCTTCTAACTGCCTGTCTGAGCCTGTCCTCATCTGTCAGACCTCAGTTTAAATTCTTCTTAAACCAAGTTTTCTGTGACCAACCACAGCCCAAAGAGACAGCCGTTCCCTGAATCCCCTAGTTCTTGTTGTCGTTAGGACTCCTTAGCTGGTTCTCCATGTGAGTGCTTCACTCATACGTCTCTTCTCTTAAATAATTGTGTTTATTTTTTTATTACTTAACGTTCCACATTTTCTTTTTGTTATCCTCATCCCCTAAACAAGATTATAAAGAACGTTGAAGAAGGCAGAAAGGAACAAAGGAAGAAAAATACTTATCTAGAACATAGTATGTGCTATACTATCCTGGTGTTTTACATGCTTTATTTCATTTAGCCTTTAAATGACTCCATGAGGAAGATGGAGGAATCCTTGATATACAGATAAAGAGACAAATTCAGATGTATTAAGCAATTTGCCCAATAGTTATAGCACTCTTAGTGACAGATTGGGAATTTGTGCCCAGGACCATCCGATTCCAAAGCATAAGCTCTTTCTACTATCCTAAACTGCCTTTTGTTTTTATATTTTGATTACTTTACAGCAGAATGCCATATATGTTAGGAGCTCAGTAAACGTTTAACCTGTATTTGGTATCTTGGTTCCTTTCCATTTCACTTTTTTCACTATTTATTAATACTTCTACTAGAATGTAAGCAGAGAAGGTAAAATTTAAGTTATTAAATTATGCTTTTTATCAATTTTGCAAAAGGGTTAATAGGGAAAAAATGTGAAACTTTTGGCATAAATATAGGGATTTGAATCGTCTTTAGATGGTTATCATCCATGTGCTTCCTACCTGCTTTCTTACTGATTACCACCCGCTGCAAAGGCCTCATTAGAAAGTGTTATTCTTGAGTTTCACATTAGTTTTTTTAAATGCCATCCAAAGCAACAAAGTATGGGCCATGAATTGTCTTCAGCCAAAAATATTTCCTCTTTTGTGACTTTGCTTAAAATTTATTAAAAGCCCACATGGTTCCTCTTTTCACTTCGCTGACAAAGGCTTTAGAGAAGGAAAGAGCCCATACAGGAATATAATTATAAACACAGTTTAGTTTTTAAGATCAATTTCGATAGGTTCATGGCCTCTTTTGTCAATAGGAAGGTCATAGGATCTTCAGTGTATGAGATTTTTCACTTGTCATTTAAGGGCTACAGCAATATTAAGAACAAATTCCATTTTTTACCTATCCTACCCCTTTCTCCCAAGCTTCAGTTAGCTGTCTCCTCTCCTAGGGTCTGCTACATCAGAAGGCTAGCGTCTTTGTTAGAATTCTGGTCCAGCAATTCAGAATAGTCCAGAAAAGGAGGAGCAGGATGGAAGGAAGAATAAATAGGTATACTAGTGAATAAACTGACCTTTTTCCAGCTCAGAGACAGTGAGACCAGTGTTATAGCCAGTGCAGAAAGTTATTTAACGTGTATTTTAAAAATATATAAACCATTTTTGCCTGAAGTACCTACATTGTTTCTGCAGGGAAAGAAGGTAGGAAGAAAGAGCCACATTGGGTAGAGAGGTAAAAAGGAGGGGAAAGTGTCAGATAAGATGAAATGAAAAGGAAATTCCAAGAAATACAAAAAACACAGAAAAGTAAAGCAAAAGTTATAGTAAGCAGCATATACATGGAAAAGGGAAGGTCAATTGACTAGAGAAAGTATTGAAAAGAAGAAAAGTTAATTAAAAAGCTGAGGAAAAGTGGTAGTGACATAATTAGCAAGAAGTTAGGGTAGAAGATTAAAGTGGACAAAATTAGAAAGAAGGTGGGGGAGAAGGCTGAAGCAGATGAAAGAGAGAACCACAAAATGCTGCCCTCCCTCCCTGCCCTGTGTTTGTAGAGGCAGGGACCCAGTGAGGAGGAGCCAGCTTTCCAAAATGGAGGACTTGACTCACCCGTCTTCTCAAACTCACTTATCTTTCATTTCAGGCTCTCCTGTCTGCTTTAAGTATCCTTAAGATTCTCTCTCTTTTTTCCCCCTGACACTACCCAGAAGCATACCTGCTAATACCTATACGCATTCTATAGAGCATTTTTCTAGAAATCCCTTAAGTCTGCTGCTCAGGCAAATCTCAAATTTGCCTACCTGCATATGGCAGCTTTTTGCTTATTATTTTAGGTTGGCACTTTGAGGTTTAAATCTGTGATTTTGGTCCTTTGCTTTTCCTGAATATTTTTTTAAATTTTTAAAGAAGAAGACAAATATCAGCCGCTGGAAGTATTTTAAAGGCAGTCACAGTGAAGCAGGGGCCCCGTGCATTAGACGTGTTCTCATAGATACAGTGCATAGCTACATAGAGCCCAGAAGTGAAAACTGATGCTAAGGTGGATATAAGACATATGTTATTGTCTTTTAAAGGGAATTGAGGAGATTTGGAGAGCATATCCTAGACAAAAAGGCAATATCAAAATAGGTAGCAATATCAAAAATAATATCTGAGTTCAGTTACTTTGATATAGTAAGTTACAATACAGATATAACAGGTTAAAATTTAGTAGTAGTATATCTCCAACTAGTGAAGTCATGAAACCATAAAAGGAAGAAAACAGCAATTCTATATCTTGAGGAAGAGCAGAAAGAGAAATTAACTTTGAGCTATGATAGGAAGTATTTGATTACCATCTTTTATCAGTTTAGCTAAGTACCCACCAAATGCTAGGCTTTATCCTATTTTAATGAGCAGGGTGGTGTTGTCTTCTTTGTACAGATAAGGAAACTGAGGCACAGAGAAGTTGGGAAACTTGCCAGAGCATCACAGCTCTAAATAGTGGCACTAATACAGAAATCATGGTAATCTTGCACCGGAGCCCTTTCTTTCTATTACTTGTCACTATATAGGCCACACTGCCTTAATTATGAAATAGGAATGCTTTCTGAAGGAAGAGATGTAAGCCCTCTGAGAACAGATATGTTAGTAACTTTTGGAGGTAGTCCTTCGTAAAAGGTAGGAAAAGAACTAGCAGAAAACCATCTTAGTCCTGGGATTCTACGAAAACAGTGAGGGGCTTTTGAATGGTTAGCCTATGAGCTGTCATATTTGAGGTGACTTTGAAAGATCAGACATTAAAAGGCATCAGATTTATATTTAACAAATTCAAACTTATTCAGAGTTTATAATTTCCTTCTAAGTGGAATTGTGTAGGAATTAGTGGAAAAAAACAGGTACTATAGGACTGACTCTTTAAAAATATATAGACAAGGCTTGTCTAAAAAAGAGATAGAAATCTTCATTTTCTAGCTTCTGTAATAGTTACTTAGAGGAAATTTAAAGTGGACTTCTTTAAGGGAAAATCATAAGTATTTATGAAATGTTGAAATAGGATATCACCCACTATGAATTCATCGTTCTGTGGTATTAGAAGTCTATGTAAACTCTTTGCAGTTTTTATTTTGGAGGATATTTGCTTTGTAATTGCCCAGTTTACTCATAGAGTATGCATCTTTTATGCAATTTTTTGTTGTTTATTCTGTGAGTGTTTTTTCCCATATCTATTTTGTACTGTTTACTGAAGGCTCGACAATATGTCACATAAATATGTGGATGATATGAATATATGTACATACGTTTTATCATAACAGTTTTGTCTTAGCTTTAAAAATGAGCAACAATATTTTCATGTCATCATTATTAAATTTAAAATTCTGTTGTGTAAAAAATAAAGCATATACAATAATGATAATTGAATACCTCATCTAATCTTCTTTGATTTCTTTTTAAATTAAGTGAAGGTAAAGGTGACCATTCTTATTATGGAAACTAAAGGGGGTTTAAAAATAAAAATAATTTCAATCTATAGATTATGTTTTGTACAGGAAAATTTTGTAGAAAGCAAATCAGAATTTTTAACAATCGATATTTTGGAGTTGTAAATTCAGTCATATCCCATGGATTCTAGTTTTATTCTAACCCTTAGCTTTATCTGCCATGGCTGTAGTTTCTTTTTAATTACAGAACGAAGGTTAACAAACACTGTGATTGAATAAACTTAAAAGGTCTTATATTATACAAACATAGGTGAAAATTTTTCTCCAAGTCAAGCTCAACACTGAATGTTTTTTAATTCCATGCAACAAAACCTGTTAGAGACATCTTTAGACTATCAGAATTTAAGTTAAACTAAATTTTATATAAAGCAAAGATCAAATCAGATTGCCTGTGCGAAAATTGTCTTACCTCAGCTGTTAACTTCTTTGGCAGGATGCTAAATTCTTGTTCTAACTGGCCATTTTGGTTATTTGGCTAAGAAGCAAAAGGGGTGGTTCAGTTCAGATTAAAAATGGTCTTTAGCAAACTGAAATGGTTGCTGTAGAAAAAGAGGAAGTTGATCAATAGTTGCTTCCGGAAGTGCAATAAGCCACAAAATAGCTAAGAAATGTACTTCTTTAGCAGAACTTATTTTGAAACACAATTTGGAGCTGTATGATTTAAGTGCTTTTAATTAATACTTGTAAGTAAACATTTGAGACTTTCTAGTAATGTGGTTATATAATTTAAATATTTAGAATAGAGTCTTGGAGAGAAAATTATATCTTCTGAGGAAGAACTGCCAGTTGGGTTATTACCCATAGTGAGATTTCTTTTCGTAAGAAGTGAATGATGTGTTCTGTTTACTTATATCACCTTAGGCAAGTGGCTACATTTCTGAGTCACCATTTCCTCCTCTGCAAGTATATTTCTCTTATTGAGTTGTTGTGAGGATTAAATAAGATGATATAACATATATAAATGCCCCACACGCAGTAGGTAACCAATAAGTGTTAATGTTATTTCCTCATATATAATTTAGGCAAAGCCCAGGTAAAAGTATAATTAGATTTTTTTGACCAAATACTTTACTAAGTGATTTGTGAGTTCAAGTCAACAACTCTTTGATTACCTACAAAGTAGATACTTCTCAGTGGAAAGTAAATAAATTGGGAATCATTTTTTAAATAAGTTAACTAGTAAGCAAAGTATATTGAAAAGAGTGTCAGTCAGTCTGAATAAAAATTTCTTTGGGCAAGTCTCTCTCTTTATCTGAAAAATGGAGATCATAATTCCTAATTTATAAGTTTATTATGGGATTAAATAAATGTAAAGTGCCTAGCATAGTACCTGTTATAGTAGATACAGTAAGTATTAAACCATGCCCTGCTTCCCCTTGGTCACTGCAGGGGAACACAAATTATTTTTTTTTTTCCCCTCCCCAAAGCCCCCCCGTACATAGTTGTATATTTTAGTTGCGGGTCCTTCTAGTTGTGGCATGTGGGATGCCGCCTCAGCATGGCCTAACGAGCGGTGCCATGTCCTTGCCCAGGAGCCGAACCCTGGGCCAATGGAAGCAGAGCATGAGAACTTAACCACTCGGCCACAGGGCGGCCCCATTTTTGTTTTTTTTGCTTTTTTTTTTTTTTTTGGAACACAAATTATTAAGACCTAGATCTTAGCTTCAAGATATTGTAACTTGATACAAAAAGAATAGGTGTGTGTGTTTTTTTAAGAGGTCCTACTATAAAGCAGAAGATAATCAAAATGCTGTAAACTTTTGATTCACTGTTTTAAAATCCCCAAATTAAGCATGTGGACCAAAATACCCTGGGGTAGAAAAAAAAATTGTCTTTGTTCAAAAGTAACTTAAAATTTGAACCCAGAAAAGCATATCTTAACCTGTCATCTTTAAACACTTGTCGAGTTTGGAAAGGCCCCACTGTTTGTTCATGAGCTGTCATTGGAAGGTGTCATTCTGAGAGTGCACGTTAAGTAGCCAAGTAGTGAGTGATGAATTTTCAATATTCCTGCTTTCCGGTTTGAGAGAAAATGTCTGACCTGTATGTTGAATATGAAAGTAGTTGCCTAGTTAATTTCTTATTTTTAAAAAGACACTAATTTGTTTTCATTTCCCGTGACAAGTATTTATGTGTAACCCTTGATTCAAGGAGTGCTTTGTGTCATTACTATTCGTTCTAGTACACAATCTCAAACTCTTAATTTGCCAAAATGGGAGCTCTGCCCAGTTTCATTTCCAATCTGGTCCTTTTTACCCCTCAGAAGATAAGCTGATCATCGTGGTTGGCATGAGTATTCTCCTGCTTTCATTTTTACTTTGACATTTAGCTTTATCTGGTATAATATGGTTATGATTTATTGTTTAGGGGATAGATTTTTTTTAGTAAGTTGATAATAAAATCAATAGTTTATTTTTCCCTCTCATTTTAAGAAGTAACCTAGATCTTTGGAGACATGGAACTTGTAAGAAGTGAATTTGATTACCAAGAGCAGTATCACCTAGGGAATTACACAAAAATTAGCAATGCCTGGAGCTCACTCCTTTCCAACTGAATCAGAAGGAAAAGGGTGGGAATTAGGCATTGGTGAGTTTTAAAAACTTTTCCAGTGATTCTGATACGTAGCCAGGAAGAGAATTTCTAACCTGGAAGGGAGAGTAAGATTGTGGTCATACTTGGAAAAAACATGTGAAATTCTGTTCTTAAATGACTAGCATATTGCCGAAAATAAGTTCTCAATAAAGAATGAGATTTTTAAATATGGCCTGGTCTTTAACTAGGATATCCTGTGTCAATTTCAATAGATAGTTGGAAAGTCTCTCAACCAACTTTCGTAATGTATTTAATTGAAGATGCAAGTCTTGACTTAAATGTAAGTCATTATTTCACCTGAACCCAGTTTCTTTGAAGGTTAAACAGTTACCTGAAGTATCCTGTTTTCCAGATTGTAACAAACACACACACACACACACACGCACACACACACACCCCCCCCACCCCTTTCCTTTGTTCTTGTCAGATTGGATAGTAAAAAAAATAAAATTGATCATTTATTAGGCCACTTGGCATTCTTGAAGTCCAAAAATTAATCAACCTTTAGATTTTTGCTATAAATAATCCAATAAGCAGTATTTATAGAATAGAGGTATGTTACACATAAACAGTAAGATAGGCTTTACATTTACGCTTAGCCTTCTGCTGTGGCTATAAATCTCGTCTGTTTTAGTTGTGCTCTGTTTCTTACTGATCTTTAACAGTATATTCTATAAGAAAATCAAGTGAATGCAAATATACGTAGTCAGTTTTATTCTATGAGTTTTAATTTATTATACAAAATTAAAAGTTTTAATTAAATATTTATAATAGAAAAGCACCTTTTTATATGTGCCATATGTAAAGATGAAAACATCCTGCTTAAAATTAGCTGTGTTGATACATGAGCTGGTATGGATTCTGTCACATTCAGCAAAGAAGGTACCATTAAACTATACAGTTCATCTCTATGCATTAGAATTTTTACTTCTGTTAGGTGTTGAAGCATATACTTGCCTCTAAGGACATGCTAAAACTTTTCAAAATTTAATTACATTCAAACAAAGATCATCTAACTACTATTATGGAACAGGAAATATTTATTTAATTGACCCTTTCTATTAGTCAGTTCCTTCAAGTCATCTTCAAAACCTTCCCCAGATGCTTTGTTGTTTTATTATTTGCTCTTTAAGATATTCAGTGTCAGAACAAAAGTGCACAGTTTCAGTCATTAAGTAAGCAGGCATGCTTCTCCCCTTCTCACCTGCTTCATTTTAAATCGCAAGGCCTGCCCATCAGATTTCAGACCATCAGACCAACCTGTTGGCATTAAATATCAAACTGACTTCATTTTTACTCTAAACTTTCTCATAGCCACTTTGCATTTTTCTTCACTAAAGCATCAGTTAGTGAGTTTTTCAGTTCTTTCTTCATCTTTTCTTTCCATTGTAGCTGTGAGTGCTCCAGTAGATTGCATCATTAGGTTGGGCCCTGTGAGCTGTTTTGCTCTTTTCCAAGTATCTGAGTCAGCAGGCCATAGACCACTGCTTGCCAGAAAATCGCCGTTGCTTCTAGGCTGACGTTTGCCTGCTTGTTTTGATCGTCTGAGAGATGAGACTTTGTTTGCCAGAACCACAGTTGATAGAAATAGAAGGGTACAGATAAGAAAAAGCACTGCAATTATAATTACACAAACTAGCATAGCGATTTTGTTGTAGTTTTCCTCACAGACATCTTTTTTGAAAATTTCACTGTGACTCTTGCTTGTGTTTTCAATGCTCTGTACTGTTGGAGAACTGTTCCTGACAACAGAAGGTATATAAAGCTCCGGTTGAGATTTAGGAGTTAAGGGTACAATGTGAGCTGATGTTGCTATTTCAGGCATGCTTGTAGAGTTATCTTTTTTATCTACTTCAGGAGTTGCAGGGTTTATATTAATGTTTTCATTTTTGTTTCTGTGAATATCTGAATCCCAGACAGTAGTATTGTTAGCCCACAGAAGGGTATAGTTTGCTTTTGTTCCAGAAGACAAAGAGAAAACTATTGTCATCAGAAAGGCAAGATGTAGGTAATATCCAATGTGTTCCATGTCCGTGGGTATAATGGTAATCTGTTGAGATAGCAGTACAATTTGTTAGTTTGTGAAAGAGTAATGGTTCCTAGTTTTGGTAATTGTAGTTAAAAGATGGACAGCTCATATGTTACAGGGAAGCTACAAGCTCATGCCTAACATTTGCTCTCCTCTTTTCATTCCTTCTCAATTAATTGGTTTTTCTGTTAGGCTACATATAAAGAAACAATTTAATTTCTATTACTCTTTTAAGTGCTAGAAGTTAGCTGTACAGATAACTGTTAATCACTGAGAACCGAACACCGTAGTTTCATTTAGCTCCCTCCCTCTTAAGTGTGCTGCACTTCAGCTTTGAGTCAGATGCTTCTGCTTTTACTTTTTTGATTCCTCCTTTTTTTCGCCTGACCATTTAAGGATCTTTTTTTCAGAAACTCCCCACCCTCTAACAAATGTGTCACCAAGTCTTTATAGTAAAGGAGAAATGTAGCCTTGAGCATTTTGCTTCATGTATGAAAGGAAAATGCAAACGGATTTTTTTTTTTTTTGGTCAGGGAAAGGGGAAGTGTGGTAGCAACCTAGAGAAAACGGACTGCAAGTAGGAATCCAAGGTGTTCTTTTTTCTTCTCGGGTGTTTATCTTGAAGCTTAGAATAAAGCTGGTGCTTAGAAATATATTCCCAGTACTTGTGAAAGCAATTTTATGGTGGTGGTTCTCTCTTTTGACCTCTGTATTCCCCAAATTATTGTGGCTCTTTAAAAGCAAAGGCATGCCAGTTTCTCTACCTAAAAATTTGGCATTACAAAGAAAAAGAGGCAAATTTCTTCTGAATGATCTCGAAAGCTCAACAAAAGTTAGCCTTTTTTCATCATCATTTATGCCTACCATTTTTTTCTATGATTATTTTGACATAATTTTTTAAATAAATTATACTATAAAAGTAGAAAGAAATAGACGATCAGGATCATGGGGATTTATTCTGAAGTGAGAAGTCCAGGCAGACTGTAAGAGTCTCAACATAGAAATGAAGAAGTTGAATTTCAGTTTTGGCTCTGAGCTTCCTGGAAGCCAGTACAAAAAGGGATAAGTCTGTTCCTAATTCTCATTATCCACCATATGATTCGAGATTTAAATAGAACTGGCATATCTGTTCCGGGTACTGGTAAACCAGCAGGAAAGATTTATCACCACTATTGAGCTGTCTCTTTATCATAATATTTCAGTTTGAGCTGCTTTTGTAAGAGTATTTTATTGTTAGCATTTATTTGAGGGAACTAGAGTCAAAACTAATTATTCTCCTGAGATTTACTAAATGAAATTGCCTGTTTAAGAACCTTATTTATTTTATAGAATTCTTCTCAAACTTGAATGTGCATGGGAGTCTTTTTTTAATGCAAATTTTGATTCCGTTGGTTCATGGGGACCCGAGATTCTGCATTTCTAACCCACTCTCAAGTGGCACAGATGCTACTGCTAATCATGCTTTTTGAGGTTCAAGGTTTTATAAGAAATAATTGTTATATGTCATGGGATAATATTTGTATACTGTTGATATACAGAAATTGAGAATAACAAATGTGATGTTATACAAACGAAAGTAGCAAACAATGTTAACTGGAAACTAACCTGTGAAGTAATATTTCCAATTAATAGTGGGAAGGAAAAAACCTTTACTATGTATTCGAGAATTAAGATTACTTTTCGGGTTAAAGATATTATGCACTGACTCCTATATAATCCTGTTCAGCTTCATTTAAGTTGGATGACTCAAATCCTTGGGTCCTTTATGATTCTTTCACAAAGAGAAATACTTTAAATTGAGTTAGCAGGTGATTTCCATCCTTTTGTACTAGACTGGACTTTTGCATTAGATGGTAAAATGATTTAAAGTTCGTTATTCTTGTCACATTAGTTCATTAACAATGTCGTATACATGATGGTATTCACACACATTTTAACCGCGCTTTCCACGGGATAGATAATAGGCCCGCTGTCGATTGTCTTCAGCCAGATGTACTGTCGTCCCCAAATAAACAAACTGTTAACAAAATGAGACTTTCTCTTATGCTTACAAATGCCTGAGAATAGAGGACTGTCTCTACATCCCTAATTTATGCCATGGAGGCCAGGTTATGTTATCAAAAGTTTTCTTTGTCTCTGGTCATTTTCATTAAATTTATAGTGCCAAGCATTAGTAACAAGAAATTTATTTTTTAAACTTTTTTTGATAGCAAATAACACTTTTCAATTCACTGTGGAGTCTAAACTCAGATCCTTCCTAATCCTGATTTAAAACTCTGTGTTGATGGTAAATCTTTCCATTTCTAACTTACGTAAAATTCTTAATAGGACAGAAAAAAACAGCATACATTTTCAATTGCTTATGATTCTAGTTTGTTAGTAGGAGTCTTAGGTTCTGTATAAAAGCACTTCCTCAAACACTAATCTGTACAAAGTAATAAGTGAAAAGGCATAAAAAAAGCTGTATATATGACCTACCTTACAAAATGCTTGGTGAAAATCTGATTATAACCTGATTTTAATAAGCCACTTCTTTTCTTGTCTTGAAGCACAGCTTCTGAGTAATTTAAAGCAAAATAGACTTGGAGACTATGAACATAAAAGTAAATCTGCCGTAAAAAGGATATGTACAGCTAGCTTTCCACTTTTAAAACCAAACCACAGATGACACATTTCCTTTCCACTGCAGCTAAAGCACATGTCAGAGGGAACAAAAAACAAAAACTCCAGCTTGTCTAGCTGGCCACTGGCATGACAGGAGGCTTTGTGGAACAAGTCCCCGCCTCCAGGGCAGGGAGGGTTTCTGCCCAACGCCCTTGACCTTTTGCTCATTGTATATGCCTGCTATATGCTTTTGAATGATATATTAGCATCATCCAAAAGAAGATGAGATGGCATTTCCCTGCAGCAGTAGTCTTCTCTAGAAATTTTATTTGTATACCACAGACTGATTTGATAATGCGAGTTTGGAGACCTGGGGCATTGGTCAGGTAAAAGAAACAGCGATATGCATAACTGACATCTCAAATTGTGGAAGTGCAACAATGATTGGAGAAATATCCAATAAACTTAGATTATATGGGACAGAAAATGCTTTTGTGTGGTTTAGTGTCCTGTCATCACCTCATATTCAATGTGTCTAAAATAGCTTCATTTTTCCCTCAGAAGTGGCTGCCTCTCAGAATGCCTTTGTTTTTGTTCATGACAGCAACGTTCTTTGTGATCTCAGAGGTGTGACGTACAGCAGGTCCTTGTGATTTAAGTCCTTTCCCTCAGCCCTGATCAGACCTTGGATCGTGTGGGTCCTTCCTTCAGATTCTTGAATCGCTTTCCTTTTTACTGTCACTATAGTATTTTAGAACCTTATTAGGCCATACCTAGAGTCTACAGTATCTTTTTTTTACTAGCCTTGACTCCTTCATATATCTTGTATGACTCACTTCCTTTGATCATATCACCCCTTTCTTTAAAAACACTTCCTAATACCTACAGCAGTGATTTAGAAATGTTCGTGCACATAAATATCAGATGAGATTGTTTAAAAACTGTCGATTGCCAGGCCCCAGTGCATGGATTCGTATGCAGTAGTTCTGGGCTGGGACCAGGAAGCTGCGTTTTCATCAAGCACCACAGTTGATTCTGATGCTGGTGCTCCGCAGCACATAGTCTAAGAAATACCAAGCTCCCAGGAGAAAACCTGAGCCCCTTAGTTGAACAGTTTTGGCCACTTCACAATTTAGCTATTATGTATTTTTCCAGCTTTCTCTCTTAAAACTTCTCTACACGAATCCTCCATTCCAGCTCAACTAGCTGACTGTGGCCCCAACACATCTAGTTACCTATTTCTTTTCCTCTTTCCCTCTCTCTGTGAGGCCTGCTAATCCCTCCCCTTATTGAATTCATATTCCTCCTACCTGCCTCAGCCGCTGCGTCTTCTACGTAGCTTTCACTGAACACCCAGTTTCTCTTACTCTCTCCCTCTTCTGAACTTAATAGAAGTTTCTCTGCAATTCCTTTGATAAGTGATTACATACTACCTCGTATCTTTTCTCTGATCTTGAAATATTTTTTTTATTTAGTAATCATTTAACTTGTCATATTTTTATCTTATTTTCTCCCAAGAAGATTAAAAACTCTGAGGTGAGGATATTTGTGTTAGCCTACTTTGTAGTACTGCCAGAGTCATCAGGTGTGGAACATTGGGCCAAAGTTAATATAAGTCGTCGTGATTTGAAATTCTAGTACTGTGTTCTTCACGGCTTTCTAAGGGTCTTCGCTTTGGCTACTCACATTGATTAGCAGTCTTTTGAGTATAAGTAACATATGACCTAATATGGCTTAATCAAAAAATGGAATTGATTGGCTCACAAAACTGAATAGTTCAAGGATAAATTTTATCTCAGGAGAGGCTTTATCTAGGCGTTAAATGAAAAGACCAGGGCCCTAGTTTCTCTCTGTTTCTTTGCTCCATTTCTTCAGTTGTTAGGCAGACACTTCCTTCATATCTCACCGTACAAGCTAACCACTCCCCAGGCTGTGTGTTCCCTTGTGTATAAACATCGGGAAAGAAACAGTCTCCGTTCCCAACCGTTGAAGCTTATGTCTCTGAGTTGAGCCCTTTGGCTCGTTGTGCTGCTGTGAGTCATGTGGTCATTGCTGAACCGTTCTGTCTGGTCGAGGTGGGCTAGATGAATTGGCTAAAGTCATTCAGTTCACTCTAGGGCTCCAGGTGGGTCATTCCCACCCAAACTGTTCACCTGGGAAGTTCGGTGGGACTGGAGACAGCCAACCAATGTCCGCTGCCTTCCTCCTTGCTTGACTGGGGTGGGCAAGTTTCTTGTTGTTGCTCAAAGTTTTTGAACTGGAGATTCGTCTCATCCATTTTTCTTCAGCCTTACTTCTCATTGTTTGAAGAACAGCTGATTTAAGAAATGGCTCCAGACTTTGTATAATTGTTTCATATTATAGTTAGTTTTCTTTAGAAAACTAATCAGAAAATAAAGGAATAAAATAGATTAGTAGCATCTGTACATGTATTCAGAACTCTGTTAATAATCTGTGTCCTTTTTTTTTGTCATCTTCCTTAGGTTCAAAACTGGTCAAATCAATGGCGATTTGCTGATCTACCATGTCTTGCTGACTCTAAAGCCATATTATGCAAAGCCATATGAAATTGTAGTGGACCTTACCCATACCGGGCCTAGCAATCGCTTTAAAACGGACTTTCTCTCCAAGTGGTTTGTTGTTTTTCCTGGCTTTGCTTATGACAATGTCTCTGCAGTCTATATCTATAACTGTAACTCCTGGGTCAGGGAGTACACCAAGTATCACGAGCGGCTGCTCACTGGCCTCAAAGGCAGCAAAAGGCTCATTTTCATAGACTGTCCTGGGAAGCTGGCTGAGCACGTAGAGCACGAACAACAGAAACTACCTGCTGCCACTTTGGCTTTAGAAGAGGACCTGAAAGTGTTCCACAATGCTCTCAAGCTGGCTCACAAAGACACCAAGGTTTCCATTAAAGTAAGTTTCACGAGGGTTGGGTAAGTGACTCGTTGCCTTTCTTGGCTGGCCAGGCCCTGTGCTGACCTCCCTGGGCGCCCCATAGTAGTGCATCAAATGTAAAGCAGTTCAGATGGAGGAAAACCAAGCTCCCTCTCTTCGTGGAGGTCCTGCGGAAGCTATGAGCATGTCCACTTAACTACAGTCTGGAGGGGATTGGAGGCGGGAGAGTGTTGTAGGGAGGCCAGTTTATGTATCAGTCAGACAACAGGAATGCGTGGAAGGTGGAAACTTCCTGTTGAGAGTTCTTCGGATTATTACATGCTTTTTGCAGAGTGAGGAACATGAACCTTCAGGATACAAATCAATAATTGTCTTTGGGATTCCTGACCTTTTTCAAAAATAAGGTTTTTTTCCCTAGTGTTTTTCAGTCTCTTTTGAGAGCATTTATCACAATAGCTATTGAACCCATTTGAATATATAACAGTGGTAACTCTTCCTTAAGTGGCAAACATGGTATTTTGTTTATTTGGTGGGTTGGTTTTTGGAGCCTCTTAGAATTCTACATAATGGAATTTAATTCTTCTCTACTCCACCCTCTCACCACCACTTTCCAGGTTGGTTCTACTGCTGTTCAAGTGACCTCAGCAGAGCGAACGAAAGTCCTAGGGCAATCAGTCTTTCTAAACGATATCTACTATGCTTCGGAAATTGAAGAGATCTGCCTGGTGGATGAGAACCAGTTCACCTTAACCATTGCAAACCAGGGCACACCGCTCACCTTCATGCACCAGGAGTGTGAAGCCATCGTCCAGTCCATCATTCACATCCGGACACGCTGGGAGCTGTCACAGCCCGACTCCATCCCCCAGCACACCAAGATCCGGCCAAAAGATGTCCCTGGGACACTGCTCAATATCGCGTTACTTAATTTAGGCAGTTCAGACCCTAGTTTACGGTAGGTTGTTAAAAAATTTGCTCCAACTTTATTCAGGATTTGCTGCTTTTAAAACAATCATTTAATAAGCTTTTAAAGCATCCTCTACCTTAATATTGTAAATTGGAAGGTATGCTATGTTGGTTAACCAGCATGACCTCATCAAGTTGTGGGGTATTCACATGAACTGAGGAATTCCAAATTGGGTGACTCACACCAAACCAGTATATGTTCTTTCTGCAGGAAACTTTAATCTGAAACAGACAACGTAGCAGTTTGGTTTTTTTAAGAAAAGACTATTTTTTGGGAGGAAGTCTACTCCTGAATTAAGTTTCTCCCCCTCGAAGTCCTCCTGTCCTCAGAAGTGTATCACTATCAAGTTTCCTCCCAGTTGCATTAGGTTACTGTTGTCAGACAGAGGACGGCTTACCGTCCGTAAGTCGAACTTTCCACCGATGTGACTCTGACAAAGTTCCTGAGAGAAATCTAAAGACAGATATAGGTGTCGTCTGAGCAGAGTATAATTGGTTCTGTTTAGGCTTAATAATCTGAACATGAGTGAGGAAAGAGCGTGGCCTGTGGAGTCAGTAGATTTGGTTTAAATCTAGATCTGCTGTGTATGACCGTGGGCAAGGCACTGAAGTTCTCTGAGCTGTAGTTTCTTCATTTTTAAAATAAAGGTAATAATGCCTTCTTTATCTACCTACAAAAGTTTAATAAATAGTATGTGTGGTAGCATAGTATACATCTAGCAAATAGTTTGTGCTCAGTAAATATTATTTCCTCCCAACTCCCCCCATTTCTCTCTCTGCCAGCATCTCTTTGCACCCCTTCCTTCTTTTCCCCCTCCCCTTTTCATGTTAGGTTAATTCTTTGTCCCAGGTACCTTGGGACTGTCAAGATTTTTATAGATATAAATTCTTAGCTTCAGAAAATTTTCACTAGGGTATAATATAGCCCAGGTTTTATAAGTAGGCTTTTTAGTATTCCAGACTCTCCCTTATTTAAAATGGGGGGAAAAAATCAACAAGGTTTCTTTATCTAGATGGGCCTCATGGGATCCATGAACTCCAAGAAATTTTACACAAAATTTTGTATATGTTTAGCTTTCGTTATTTCAGAGGAGTCTCTGACACCTACCCACAGTTTGAGGAACCTCGATTCTTTCTTAAAGCTGTTGAAATACACAGAGTAAAAGTCAATGTCAAAATAGTGTAACTCAGAATTTCTAGGAGTTAGTAAGAGATAAAGGGATAAACTTAGAAACAGTAATAGT